CAACCACAACTTGAGCTATACCTAAGAAATGCAAATGGGGCAACATAACAATTTGTACCTCATATCAAGGTGAAATTAAAAAAAAGAATAACTGGAAAAGTAAAATAAAAACGAGTAACTGAAAAAAAAAAAAAGACCCACGAGCAAGGGCATTTCCTCTTTCTGCCGCTGGCTACCTGGATTTGCAGCGGCCATCTTCAAACCAGTGAATCAATTAAAGAGCCAACATTTTGAGCATGGCAGGGCAGAAGGACGAAATGACCTCATTAAGCCAATAAATTACCTAACTCGGAAATGGCTTTATCTCCAGGCTACTTCTTAAATGAGAAAACAAGCATATCCTTCTAGCGCTTAAGCCATTTGGAGTTTGGTTTTCCTGCTATTTGCAGCAGAAAACCTTCAAACTAATTCTGTGCCAGCACCAGTAGGCTAACTGAGTAGTTACTGTTGAAACAGTGTATACGTGTAACCACCCCTCATGTAAAATCTGAATGTAAGTGGTTTATGCTTTTCAAAGGAAAGTGTTACCTTTCTAAGGTGTTTTCACTGATAAAAGGGGACAAAGTGACATGTTGTTCGGAGGTTTTGCTAGGAAAGAGTTTTCTCTTTTGCTCCAGGTATGATACAGCCTTTTTAATCCTTTGTTTATGTTTTTGGTGTTTGTGGTTCTAGCACTTCTTTTTCCAGCCCTAAAAAATGTTTAATAACACTTTTCAGATAAGCTCTGAATATCAACCTTGGCTGCTTTAAAAGGTCAGTATGATTTACACATAAATGTTTTCTTTCAAAGAAAATAGGATTTTGAAACTGCCTTTCCTTGGTATTGTCCTAAATCCTCAATAAGGCCTGACAAAGAGGATGCTGGAATTCACAGAACGTATTTACAATTAATAAAAACGTGATTGCAAAGCTGAGCTCTGGATTTTGCTGGGGTACCAATTAAGTAATATGTACAAACACAGACTGAAAACACTTCAAAGCACAACTTATAAAAACCGATGTTAAGGTGTGTCAATCCAGAAGTTCAAGGACTGCCAAAATTAATGATGATATTTTTTCCTTCTGATTTATGAGAGTTACCTTGGAACCTATGTTTCTGTCTAAAGCAAAAGCAGAACTTATTAATAATGTAAGCAGCTCTAGGGCCCCTTTACCATGGCAGTAAGGCTCTTGTCTAAAACCAGAACTGTTTCCTTTATGCTTTAATGGATCAGATCTGTTTAACTTACTTTATATGATGCTCACCCAGCTTCACCGGCACATGGATGCTTAGTGAATATTTGATGATGGTGACTATAACTGCAAATACTGTATCTCAGTGTCCACAAAAAATGATAAAGGACTCTAAAGCTGTTTTACTCAAGAGAAAAAAACTATACAACAAGAGGGTCATCCCTATTCCTATCAGGGAATTATTGTAAGAAAATTCCAAATTAAAAAGGAAGATGCATGAATTAACATATAGCATACGTGTTAAAATCCATGTAATATTTACTACATGTGCTACTTTACTTAATCTTAACCAAAATGCTATGGACAAGGCATTGGGATCCCATTTTCTTTTTGAGACCCGGGGGGGGGGGGGGGGAAAGATTTCCAAAGTGGATGAAAATGACACACATGTGCTCTTTATTTGTCCTGTTTTAGCTTAATGTAGTTTGGGTGCAGGTAAAAAAGTTCCGGGTAGTTGTTATAACCCTGCCCTACTTTTATAATATCTTAAGATAAAGATTCTAAAAGAGTCTGAAGCAAAGGAAAGGGAGGAGAGGGCAGCTTCACTGGCAATGGATGAAAGGGAAGAAAGGGAGTTGACAGAAAAAAGGAGATCAAGGGCACAGGTTCCGGATTCGAGACCCAAATTTAAACCACAGCTCTACTACTTCCTTGACCAGAGTCCGTGACCTTGGACAATCCTCAGGGTTAACTCTGTCATCCATAAAATGGTGGAATTACAGAATGTGCCTCCTTGTGTTCAGAGAACTAGATGAGAAAAAAGCATGCAAAATGCATGCCCAGCGCCTGAGTGAGCGCACACGCCGGGCCGGCTAGCACCGCACTTGTCTTTACAGTCAGGAGTTTGCTTTCCCACCTAACTGGGAACAGCCAGACTGCTTTCAATCCACATCTCCTCCGCACAGCACAAAGTCCAATTCCTTGAAAGAAAACCTGCTTTCGGCTGTGAATCCAACTGAGATTAAGAGCCTGAGGAAGTTTTTGTTTCAAATTAAAAAAAAAAAAATGTTGACATGCCTCGAGGAAACAGGAGCAGAGAAAATATTCAAGTGTGTTTGGTAAATGGTATTTCAACACGGGTTTCACTCTATTACGTACATAAAAATAACAGTGTTTTTCATTTTGCAATAGGATAAAGAATAAAAAGGAAAACAGCATTAAAAACTTACCCTTTGTTTTTCATTCGTGCCCTTTTTATTGGTCTCCTTTTTACTTTCATCTTCATAAACCAAAACAAAGTCGATTCTTCGTTGGCCATCATTAAAATACAGGGAGTCAGATAGTCCATTGAATTCTTCCTGTGTGGATGACGAAAACAAATTGTTAGGGAACTTTCTGAGCAGGTGCTGCCCCTGTTTACTTTTC